TACACCAATACCCTTTTCATGATTGTTTAACATAACGACGTCGTTTTGGCAGTTTTGAGCCATTTGAGCCACTGTTTTGTGGCCCTCTACCATTGCTGATTATATAACAGATCCTAAACAACTACTTAATTTCGTAGGTTTCTAGCTTTGTGGCTTCCAGAAAAATGGACTTGACTTTCTGGCGAAGCTAAGTTCATGAGGACGGATTATTTTTGAAGTATTATTTTATTGGCCCAAAAACTAAGCATTTGTTTGGGGATTTTTTTTTTAATTTGATTTTTAATTTTTTTTAATTATTTAAAAAAGTTCTGTTAAGAAAGAACTTTGACTTTTTTATAATTTTGTGAAAAAATAATTCATTGTGTTTGGTTTTAATTTTCTAAATTCAATTTTCTGAAAATTGAGTTTTTTATTTGGAAAAATTACCCATAAATCCTATCCCGATAAAAGTTAAACCATTTCGTCCTTTAAGTTTTCTTGTACACCATTTAGTCCTAATTTATTACTTGATTTTTGGGATGTGATTTGATTACATTTGTTTTTACACCAATACCCTTTTCATGATTGTTTTTACACCAATACCCTTTTCATTATTATTGATTAACATTATTTCATTGTTATCTTCTCCTTCTTCATGTTCTCTCTCCGCCGGCGATGCAATCTCCATTTTCAAACTCAGATTCCGATAGCCGAAACCCCAAAGAGTTCGCCAGAATCTGACATCAACGCCGGTTGCATCCATGTTTTTTGAAAACCCAATCGAGATCATCGGAGATTCGACAGATCTGAGATAGATGCGGCGCTGATATGATATGCACAGAGGCGCCGAAGAAGACGTCGGAGAAGACCCATCCGCCATTGCAAAAATGATCCTCACCCATTCGCCATGTTGATGATGTCTGCCACTGATGTTGATGATGGATCGGTGTGGATCTGCGCTGATGTTGACGATGTTGAGCATAGCGTTGATATCGCTGATGTTGACGATGGAACCAATGTTGATGATATTGATCACGGCCTTGATGTTGATGTTGATGATGTCTGATGTCGCTGATGTTGATCACGGCGTTGATTCGCTGATGTTGATCATGGAAATAATGTTGCTGATGTTGATCATGGAAATAATGTTGATGATGTTGATCATGGCCTGATGTTGATGATGTTGATCTTGGAAATACATGCATAATGTTGATCATGGAAATACATGTATAATGTTGATGATGTTGATCATGGCCTGATGTTGATCTGTAATCCCTGGTTTTTCCATTTCAAGCTTTGGGTATAAGCGTAAATTGCACATTGTGAAATCCCAGATTTGTCCTGACTATAACTTCCCACATGCGATGTAACGCGATTAATTTGGTCATTAACATTGGGGTAGGACCTAACGGTTCATAAGAAAATTAATAAGACCAAATGGGCCACAAGATACAAATTTGGGATTTATTGGTGCATTCCCCTTTTTATTTTTCGTATTTTTTTATTTATAGTGAATATTTTTAAATTTTCAAGTAATTTTTTACTTTTTTAGATGCACCTTACTTATAGGGTTTTTTTATTTATAGTGAATATTTTTAAATTTTCAAGTAATTTTTTACTTTTTTAGATGCACCTTACTTATAGGGGTGTAAATTTGGCTTGGCCCAGCCATTGTCGGGCCTCGTGGGCTCCCGTCAAAATTCGGGCTAGGACGGACTGGTTCACAGGCCAAAAAATTAGGTCCAGGCATAGGGGGTATTTAGGCCTTGGGCTAAGGCTTGGACTGGGTCTAAACATTTTTTTTGTTTTTTAAAATTTTTTCAACCAAAATTTTATTATTTTTCACTAAAAAAGGCATTGGGCCTTGGGTTGGCCTTAAGCGGACCGGATCTTGAGTGGGCCTTAAGCAAGCCGATGGGTCGAAGCTTCAAAATGATGACCTAGGCCTAGGCCCAGGGTCTTAGACTGGACTCGGGCCTATCTTAGGCCATGGGCGGGCTTCGCGCCGCCTACGGGCCACAAACCATTTTTACACTCCTACTTACTTAGATGTATCGAAAAAGTTAAATATTTGTAAAAAAAATATTTTAAAAAATCAATAAATACACACGAATACGAAAATGTATTGAATTTTTGTTTTTATTTTTAAAATTTTTGGTATTTACTGAATTTTTTATAGATTTTTTTTTATAACAAATGTCATACTTTTTACGTGTACTTACGTTAGATAGATCTACAAATTAAAAAAAATTGGTTAAAATATTAAAAAAATTCAGTGAAAATAAAAAAATAAGGAAAACAAAAAATTTTAGGGTGTGTTTGGTTTGTATTTGTAGAGTAGTTTTTGAAATAAAAAGTACGAAAACTTGTCTGGTTTACTTTTTTTCAGAAATAGTTTTGAAAAATTATTTTGGGGAGAGAGTTTAAAAAAAGTGATTGATTTGATGTGTATGAGAGAAAGTGTGATTTTGGAAAGTAAGTAACCAAACAAAATTTTGAGATTTTTTTTGAAAAAATTTGTTTGGTTTAATTACTCTTGAAAATTTGTTTGTAGAGAATTTTTCTCAAAAATTTTTCTGAAAAACAAACCAAACAAGGCCTTAATTTTTTGAAAAGTGAATTCTGAATCCTGAAACCAAACAAACTAATGGTTTATATATGATATTTTATCTTATTGACTTTTTAACCTATTTTATTTTTTTAGTGGACTAAGGCCTCTTTTGGGAACAAATTATTTTAGTAATTTTTTGACTTTTTACAAAAAGATGTACAGAAAAGTAAAGAAAGTGATGTAATAACTTATAGTGATTTTTTGACTTATTGGCTAAAATAGTTACTCCCTAAATGAGGCCTAAGGCCTCGTTTCTCAATTATATATTTTAGCAAAAAAGTCAAAAAGTCACTATAAATTTTCACATCACTCTCTACATTCTGGACATTATTTCGTAAAAAACTAAAAAGTTACTAAGAGTATCCGCATCAGTCTCAACAAATTTTGAGTTGAATTATGAATCAAAATCTACTTTTGTATTTTAGCTAACCTCTTTTTTATATACACACTTCATCAAACTCTCTATTTTAAAATTCTGTTTCCTTAAAATATTATTTTTTATTCTTTTATCTTTTTCATTTTAAATATACATTTTTCCATTGCAACATAGTAGCAGCAGAGAGCAGTAGCCGAAGGAGGCAAACCCACTGAGGGGGCGATTGACTGGTCAGGTCAAAATTCAACAAAACTTCTTTCTCTGCACGGACATCTGGGCGGACATCCAGGAGGACGTTCGGTGGATGAGAAAATATAATAAAAAAAAGCTATTGAATAACTAATGAATTTTGTTGAGGTACTGTAGCAAATTTAACTAAAAGCTAGTTTAGAAATAATTTGTTGAGACTGATTGAGCAAGAATTTTATGATTTGCTAGTCATATTTAATCAAAAACTACATTTGGTGAGGGTAATGTGGATGCTCTAAGACAACTTGTTCCCAAACGAGACCATATTGCCAAATGAAGGTTAAATATAAAACTTAGGTTGGCTTCAGTTTCAATTTCCTATTTTTAAAATGAAACTATTAATAATCACGCATTGAACAACAATTAATCTTGATATTTATGTAAAAAAATGTACGACAATATGTTAAATGTGGATAGAGATTACTTTTTTTAGACGACATAGGAGTGTTTTGAAAAGTTGGTAAAAAATTAATTTTTTGACTTCTTTAGTCTATTTTGTCTTTTTGAGGGTAAAAAATGTGAAAAATAATGTACTCCAAAATAAATAAAAAATTAAAAGCTGACTTTTTATTTTCTTTCCAAAAGACCCCACAACTTATATTTAAGTATGATTTTCAATTGCACCAAAGTATACACATGGGTTGGGGGTGCAGGGTCACAGGGGTAAGGGGTTGAGAGTTCTAGGGATGAGAATGATTCGGATTGAGATAAAATCAGAATCAATTAGTTACCTATGGTTATTGAAAAATTGGAGTCAATCTAATCCGTTTTAATCGTGAAACCAATCCATTTAAACAGGGATTGGATAGGTTTAAGACTACGAATTTACATAATTAAATAACAAAAAAAAAATATAAAACATTTTAATTTCATAAAAATATAAACATAGCATCATATTAGTTCCACAATAGCAACATGTTTTTCCATAATGACGACATACTATTCTAGAATTTAAACAATCATAAGAAAACAGGTTCCACATAAGTATTTATACCATTACAAATTAAAATTAAAAACTAACAAATAAAAGTAATAAAAAAAGATGCTATGCGGGTTTAAATTTGGGTTAGGTTTTATATGAAATAAAAGAAGATACTATGTGAGAGAGTGTATGATATAAATATAGGCTATTTGTATACGGTCCGGATCGGTTCCAATCCAGAACCATGGGTTTAATCCAGAACCAATCTGTGAATTACGAATTTTTAATTTTTTAATCCCCACGGATTCAAAAAATCAATTTAAACCTACCGGATTTGATTGGATCGGATCGAATTACGAATTTTACGGATACCTTACTCAGCCCTCGAGTTTAGGTGATTGCATTAGAATTTTGGGAGAGGGAATTTAGGTGATTGCATTAGAATTTTGGGAGAGGGAATTGTGGTGTGGTGTGGTGTGGGGATGGAAGGAATTAGCATTGGTATGGAATGAGTTGATGTTGGCAGTGGCAGTGAAGATAGGGTGCGGAGGGGCTGGGAGTGACGGAAAAAGGAGGGGCCATGGTGATCAGCAAGGAGTGGCTGACAGTGAGGGGTTTATAGAGCAAAAAAGGCAAAGAGAAGGAAAATGGGGAGACAGAAAGATGGTTGATAACACCCAAGAGTTTTTTTTTGTCCCTTAAAATCAAGTTCTGAATTTTGAGGGATTGCAATTTTGCACCCCACATGTAGGAAAAAACTTCATAGTTCACAAGCAACTCATGCCAACACATAATGGACTCGATAAAAAACAATGGGACATCGACATTCAATGCCACATGAATGTTTTCATCCATCCAAATGATTGTTAGAAGGCAGAATAGAGCCGAGATCTTCAAGGCAAAACCATCACTTTACAGATCAAAGATATAGCTCCTATGATAGATTGCACCATAATACAAATATGATCTTCCACATCACTCCAAAATCCTTTCTACAAAACTATTACTTAGATTTTGTCTTTAAGTTCCCTCAAGGCCAAAGGGAGGGCAATTGTCGTCAAATGTCAATTACTTCTACACAAGTATCGAAATTAAAAAATAAAGAAAAATGGCCACAACAACTAAGATCCTCTCCAGGGAACTACAGGTTCAAACCACCTCCAAACAATTTCATCAATTTCTTTCTCATTTTTGCTGGACTTGCACATAAAGATGGTGCTTGGAAACTTCATAGAGTTCATCATTCAACCTTTGCCACTCCCCCGGGAGGCATACTGCTTTCTGCAACAGTCTCCATCACAAACCTGGAAAGAAATGCAAAACTCTAACGGTCTCAATGGTGCTTAGAAAACATATATCTCTCTTTTTATTGTTGTGGGGAAGTTGAATGGGGTATGGGAGAGAGGGAAAAAAAAGTTGGGGAAAAATAATAATAATAAAATCCAGTTGTAATGACCTTTTTAGTAGCGTGGAGAAGAAAGAAACAATACCTTGCAAATTTATCACGAGACGATTGCAAGATGTAAATCGAGAGAATGAATGTCATTAGAAGCCCTGTTTTACATGCTCAGAAGAAACCAGAAGGTTAGGTAATGACACCTTTCAATTAGTCACATCTTATTGTTCAGTTGCATATTGACCATGAATTCATGGTTCAAGGATGAACTTCAAATTGAACCTACTCCAGCTTTAAGGCAAAATTTAAGGCCATTTAGATTACAGACTCAGGTATAGGGGAATAATAGCCGGGCTATCAGACAGGTGTGCTGGCTATACATCAAGCATCCCAGGCACCCTACCCATCCTCGTGACCTCATTAGGTAGCAGCGGCTAGGAACCCTTCACTGAAGTTTTGAAGACACAACTATTGAGCTACTTTTGTTACTTGAGATGAAAATATACACAAGATTTTACAATAAACTAAAAAGCAAAAATAATACTGAGAGAGAGAGAGAGAGAGCCTACGGGCAACTACTTGGTGGCCCTTTTTTCTGCTTGGTATGTAAACATGCAGTTAGATGTGGTAGCATGTAAGTCACGAAGTTAGGTTCTAAAGCCAGATGGCAGAACAAGCCTCGCAACTCAAACCATTTTAGCAATGTGGCAATGTTATGACAATCAAGAAACAGGAAATGGCCGCATTCTGTCAAGTAAAAAGTGATTTGATAGTCTAATCACAATTACTTGTGAAAGGGCAATACTCTGAGCATGATAAAATAACAGCACTTTTACCATTATAATAACAAACTATTCACCAGTGATTTTGTCAATCTTGAAAACCATTGCTGAACTTGCTAATACAGAAAACAAATGTACCGTTTTATACTTTTAATTGAGCTTTCTTACCTGATCCAAACAGAACATAAAACCCAGAAGCCACATCTATTTCTGACTGTTCTTCCCTGTATACACCAGAACAATGACTCAACAACAAATTTTTATTATTTTTATTTATAAAAAAGAAAAAAAGGGAATAGGTAAGCTGAATGTATTGGCCATTGCAAAGACATCATCAGTTACAAACATTAAACAAAAAAGGAAGCACTGAAATCTGCAGATGTTCCTGTTTCACTACAAAAGTTCTATTTGTTGTGAATCCATTCCTTGTATAGTGTTTCAACATGCTGCTCGCATAGATACAGATCCAGAAAGAAAATAGATGCAGTTATGTTTAAGATCAACCTATCCATATAGATCAGAGTGGATAAAAGATAACATGACCCCAACCCAGGAAATGTGGCTGTTGTAACTGGTTTGGCCAGATGACCAACTGCAAGGATTCATGATCTTACCCAAACAGAATCCCACTCTTGAGTCTCAAGTGAAATGCAGTATACACAATGCAAGTTTATCATACTCATCAAGGCAATGGCATTGAATGTAGCAAGACAATAAATCTTAAAGATCCTACCATGCAACTCGTAATAAATGATATAAACCGAAAATTCAAAAGTCTAGATTACTCATTTGTATTTATTTATTTTTTAAAACCTAGATTATTTGAGTATGAGCCAAAAAGAAAAAAGAAAAACGTTCCCGTGTATAATAAAATACCAACCACATACTCAGCAGTTCTCACATGCATTATCCAAAAAAGGCAAAGTTAGAATAATTAAGAATTTTACTTCACTAAAATCCTTTTAACCATTTCAACATATAGTGATCAGACTCACCAAACAAACCAACAAAACTATCAACCAATAACTGGAAAGTTTGCAAGAGTGTCAAAGTAGTTACACTGACCATGTGTATCTGACAAGCACATGTTTTGGCCAATGTTGTGGATCCCAAAATTGTTTATGGATATCTGGATGTATTTCAACATCTGCTCAAGACAAAAGATAAATTCTTTTGAGAGTAAGCTTAAAGAATAAATTATTCTTGGAAGAACAAAATCAAAGTCCCCACTACATCAGAACTTTGGATGATATTCTGCAAAATTTAATCAATAGAAGTACTCTTTGACATTCCTCAATAAGTAGAACCAACATCATAATGACTGCTATTTTGCTTACAACATTTCTAATAGCATTAATCTAACCAAGAAACGAAAGGGAAGAAGAAGAAGAACAAAAAAGGAGCAAAGTGAGCCTTTTATAACAAACACATATCATTATAGAATGAAAAATAGCATAGAAATTAGGGATTTAAAACAAACACGTCTCATTTTAATTTTTTTTTTCTAGTTTCAACTTCCTCAACATAGATTTTTGGACAGAGAAATTATTAAGAATGCTTGAATAAGAATCAATTGTAACCTCTTACTAGGAAGTTCTTGTAGTCCATACCACAAGATGTGACTACAAGTTTTAATTTGAGCATCTACTCAAAATAACCCTTATTTCCGCAAGTTTAAGACCAATCACATAAAGATAACAAACAAAGCATGACGCAAATGGAGTTTTCAAACCTCTGACAGGTAATGGATAATATATGAACATTGTATAGAAATTAACGGAGGAAAAACAAATGAATACTAACATTCACTGTGTGATTTGATGTAATAGTTAGCATAATACTTCAAAATAAGAAGCTAATTATAAAAGTACTACATACATCGATGTGGCATATCTACAACTCTGCCAGTGACACCAAGCAAATCGCTCCCAGAGTACCTCTGTATGACATACAAATAAAAAACATTTCCATAACTTTAGAGGATTAAATTCTAATAACCATTCAAAGAATCAAAAAGTCGTTTATTGGATGTTAAAAAAACTATAAAGAACATCTCACTATTTAGTTGTACCTTTTAAAATGTTCAAAATATGAAATTCTAAGCACGAGAACAAGTTTACCACTCATTGAAACCCTTACCAAATGAACATCAATCATTGGAACCTCAGAAATCTTCCGATTTATCACAAAAAGCCATGGAATAAAAACTTTTCTTTTCCAACTTGAAATGATCTGCATGAGAATAATTTTCAGTATATCTTTGGATATCTGTGCAACTTAAGAACACATGCTTATTGAAAGCATCACTTCTACAATTGTAATAATATCTAAAGCAAATAAAGCTTCAAGGGATACATACAATCATATGCACAAGCAATAGAAACTTAAACCATTTCATTTGTATCTCTATAAATAATAAAAATTAACACCTTTGAGCCTTCAAAATAATGTATAAATAGAAAGCAAAGCCAAACTATTATGTTGGGTTCAATTAAATTATGAAGCAGACCCTTGTCAATGCCCTACATCAGAGGCTCTCAACAATCAATACAAGTTGATATAAGATGCAACATGACAACTAATGCTTGCATAAAAATGAAATTGATACATTAACAACTAATGCCTAATAACCTTGAGGTTACGTGTTTAAGTCTTGGGACCACTTTGTGCATTATGCCAAAGGTTAGGTGTGTACTCAATCTTTCCCCTCCCAAATACACATTAATGTGCACTAATTGAGCGTTGTTGTTTTTATACATGAAACAATAGGAAATCTAATTCAAGAGGTCCACTAACAATTAGAGAAGGTTCCTTCATCGTTGTCATAAATAAAACTCAATTACTAGTTTATGTAATACATATATTGTTGTTACATATGCTTTGCATCATTTGCTCCGAATGGGTGATTTTAGATTGTTGCCATTGCTCCTCGATAAATACACATACTAACATAGTCATGAATGTACAAAACCACAAACAGGCAAAATGTACCCACTAGGTCAACTAAGAGGTACAATCTACCTTTCACTCTATTAGCATTTTATTTGCAACACATTAAAAGTTGATGGAGACTTTGTGTGCAGCATTCATGCCATACAAAATTTTAAATACACAATATTTCCTTTTCTGTCCTCTCCAGCTTAACCAAATAAGAGGGAGAGAAAACACAATCTTTTCTTTTCTTTTCTCTCCTAACATAGCAAATCATTTCTTTTATTTTCTCTCCTAACACAGTGTAAATTATCCATTAAACAGCTTCAAATTTCACCAAATAGAAAGACAATTATCTGAAGAAGAAGGCAAAAAGATAACAATAAGAGCTTGAGAAGATATCTCACATTTTATACGGATCAGCGCCAGTGTAACCAATTGGCTTTGGTATAGGAATCAAAGCCTGCAAAACATTGGAATGAATGTCAAAGTAAATACAAAATCAAAACATACATGTGTATCCAATTGTGGGTGTGATTGATTCAAGGCAAATAAAAACCCCCAAATCATATATTCAAAAGAAGGTTACCTCACGATTTACAGCAAAGATTGGGCAGTGGCGACCAATCATGTCATGCCAAACAGTTCTCGACTGAAGCACGCAATAGACAACACAGCAAATTCACAGATCAATAATCGAATTGAATATATATATATATATATACAGAGAGAGAGAGAGAGAGAGAGAGAGAGAGAGAGGAATTGAAGGGTTTTGAGTACAGACAGAGTGGTATTGGCCCATCTTGCTCATGGGAACGATGTCTCCGGGTCTGTAAGCGAGAGAGGTGGAAACCAGAGACATTAACATTGATGTTAGCAACACTGAATTCATGATTGTTCTTCTATTTGTGCCTATTCTACCATTTCTTGCCATTGATGAAAGGTCTTCTGATGATTTTCTTCTGCTAAGCCCTCGCAGTCTAGTCTATCGACTCTTTACACGAGTGTGAAGAGAAAATTGTTTTGCTATGAAAACCGTGAAATTTTACTACTTTGCTGCTACTACTCGGATCATGCCCCATTATTTATTATTATTATTATTATTATTTATTTATTTATTTATTTATTTTTATGGTAATTCAACCCAATTTTTGACCATAAATAAAAGGGCCAACTATACTTCACCTCCTTTAACTACTACCATTTTTCACTTTATTCCTTCAAGTAAAAAATTAATATAATATATTTCCTTCATTTTTTAAAAATGTTCAATCTAACCCTTAAGTCTCCTTTTTGTTAACAAAATAAATTAAAATGTGCATATAATAAGCACATGTCTTATTCATGACATATTTTTAAAATGTATTTTTGTCATAAATGTGACAAGTGCAAATTAAATATGCTTTTTTTTGTCTATTTTGTTAACAGAATGAAGAGATAAGAGTTAAAATTTTTAAAAGATAAAGAGGTTCATTATATCAATTTTTAATTTGAAGAATAGAGTGAAAACAATGATAGTTAATAGGAAAAATGTAATTTGCCCTACTAAAATTAGTTACCTTGTTATATTAATCTCTTTTATTTGAAGAGTAAATTTTTTGATAAATTCCACTATTTATATTACAACGAATCTAAGTGTATTTGTTAAAAAATCTATATGTTTATAATAAAAGTAAACCCAATGTATCACATTTTTTATATTATTAAAAGTAAAATGTGCATGAACTACCTTTTATAACATAAGATGTGTTTCACTGAGAAGCAAATCAATCCGAATCTTTTCTTTTTTTTTTATTTTTTATTTTTTTTTGCATAACCAATCAAGAAGAAAAATCTCTCTACACAGCCCTATAAGTGTTTTGTAAAATGGTTAGATCTATAATAAGAACAGGAAAATTACTAGCATAATTTGGATTTCATCTACATAAAATATATTGTCCCTTTATAATATGTAATATATTTTTCTCTATAAGTATCTCTATATTAATAAGATTAAAGAGTTCACATTTTTACTTATATGAGTAGTTTCACTTTCATCTATTAACAGCACAATACATTTCTATATTGTAGTTGGATTTTATCATAAATAATTATACAAGCTCAAAAATGCTTATTGGTTGAGTTAATTAGTCTAGATGCGAACTTAATGTCATGTAAATCATGAAGATAGATAATTGGGTAAAATAGTTAATAATATTTATGACATATTAAATATTTTTTTTTACAGATTATCTTGAGCATAGCATACTATATTGCATCAAAGGAACCATATGTTTTGGGTATTTTTAATATTTTTTTTTATTGACTTTACAAAAAATACTCTCTTTTTTGGGAGTAAAAAATTTCCAAAACAATGTGGGTGTTTGGGAAGTGGGTTTTTTTAGTTGTAGGATATTATTAGAGAATTTTTTTTTTTGTGTTTGGAAAGATAGTTGGATTTTTTTGTGGTTGAATGTGATGTTTGTGAGAGAAAAAATGAAATGATTATGGAGCTTGATGTGATATTTTGTTTGGATTTATTTTTTTTGATTTTGTAACCAATTTATCTTTTAGTGAAAAAAAACAAAAAAAAATAAAAAAACCTCCTTTCCAAACAGCGCCAGTAATCATGCAAAATTAGGCAATATGATAAGCAATATTTGTTTATTCCTAAGAAGGAAACACATTACATATAACAAGATAGTATAGAAAAAAAATATTTAAGATGATAGGATAAAAACTATTTTCATTCAAAAAATATAACTAATTATATTATTCATGAGCCTAGAAACTTATAAAATAGGGACTTTTCCCAAACTAAGCCTCATTTGCCTCCTATTTCCCAAACTAGGCCTAGTTTTGACGGAATTCCCAAACTAAGCTAAAGCGCTATTACAAATCGCGCTTTAACTGTTTGGAGGTCAAAATTTGATGAATAGTTAAGGTGCTATTGTGAATCGCGAGTTTAATTAATGAAACGCTGTTCGGAATAGCGGTTTTAAATTATTAAACACTATTTCTAATAGCGCTTCATTTTGAGAAAACGCTATTCAGAATAGCGACTTCACTGTGCATCACCTTTGTGAATAAAACGCTATTTCTAATGGCGACTTCACTGTACCTAAATGAAAACGCTAATTGAAAAAGCGTTTTTCACACTGCTATAAAAGACGAACCCCGTCATTTGCATTTATGTTTTTCACACTTACATTTTTCGTCTCTGCTCGATCTACAGACTCTCCATCTCTCACTCTTCATCTCTCACTCTCTATCTCTCTCTGCTCTCAGACTCACTCGATCTCGCTCTGCTTCGGCTCACTATCGCTCTCCCTCTGCTCTCTGCTCTCTGCTCTCACCCTGATCTTTGCTCTCTGCTCTCTCTCTCTCTTCGTGGTATGACAGTTAACCCTAATTTTATGTATTTATTTTTTGTGTTTGTGAAAATGTGATGTGTTTTAATTTGCTGTGAATGTTAGGGTTTTATATGTGAATTATTAAATGTGTTAGGGTTTGGAATTTTTTGGGTTTGGAATTTTTGAATTTGTTTGTGGAATTAGGGTTTGGAAATTAGGGTTTGTGGAATTTTTTGAATTTTTTTTTGAAATTAGGGTTTGGAATTTTTTGAAATCAGAAATCAGGGTTTGGAAATCCGAAATTAGAAATGTGAATGCTTTTGAATTTGTGAAATTTTTTATGCTTTTGAATTTTTGGATGTTGCTTGTGAATTGAATATTTGGGTTTGGATTTTTTACGCTTTATCAGTGTGGTTATGAAATTAGGATTCTAATGATAATTGTTGTTCGATATCAGATTGTTCACACATCCTTTTAGAATGACATTTTAGGCCTCACATTATTAAGGGTTCTAATGCTTGTGAATTTTTATGCTTTTGAATCATAAATCAGCTTTGGAATTTTTTTAATTTTTTGAATTTTTAAAATAAATCATAAATATGAGAATTGAGAATTGAAAATTGGAATTATGAAATTCATAAATTCATAAATCATAAATATGTTAATGTCATATTATGAAATTCATATAATTGAGAATTGAGAATTGAGAATTGAAATTATGAAATGTTTATATTTTGAAATTTGAAATCAGAAATTGGAAATTTGAAATTATGCTTGTGAATCAAAATGTCTATATTTTTTGAATCAAATTATGCTTCAGAAATTGTTAATGTCTATATTTTTTGAATCAAAATGTCTAATTTCTACTAAATGTAATTATTAAACAAAAAATATTTAATTTTGAATGTATTTTATTAAAAAAAATTGTATTTACTTAAAATAATAAATGAAAAGATCTTGTTCTCTCAAATAAAAGATCATGTTCTCTGAAATATTTTATTTTGACTCTATTTTATTCAAAAAAAATATTTTTATTGACTTGAAAATAATATATGAAAATATCATGTTGTCTCAAAATATTTAATTTTGACTCTATTTTATTTAAATAAAAAAAATTTGGTTTAATTTCGTTTGGTTTATTTCACTATATTTGGGGTCAGGCACCCAGAATATGATTAAAAAAGTTAATGAGCTGAATTTGTAATACATATAATAGCATTATAGTACAAATTAAAATTTCCTTTGAAAACTTAAGAAAATTTGAAAAAGTTTTTGAAATGGGTATTGAACGAAGTGACTTATCGCCACTTCCGCTTTGTGACTGTCCACCACCATTGAAAAGGAAAATCTAAACATTATGTTTTAATAATTTTTATTTTTATTTATATAATTACAAGTCATTATTAGACTAGTTATAATATATGCATGAAAAGAGTCTTAAACTATTTTAATTAATAGTCCATAGCAATTTCGTAGGTAAGAAGGAAAAAAAAAAAATGGCACTTTGATGGGTAAGCCTGTGTTTCGTAATACCAAATAATTGGTACGGATGGCCCGATAGATTCACATGAATAACTATTCAAAATTTAGTCCATACATTTAACCACCAACTTCAATTTAATTCTCTCTAATGAGTATTGAACGAAGTGACTTATCGCCACTTCCGCTGTGTGACTGTCCACCACCATTGAAAAGGAAAATCTAAACATTATGTTTTAATAATTTTTATTTTTATTTACATAATTAGAAGTCATTATTAGACTAGTTATAATATATGCATGAAAAGAGGCTTAAACTATTTTAATTAATAGTCCATAGCAATTTCGTAGGTAAGAAGGGAAAAAAAAAAAAAACACTTTGATAGGTAAGCCTGTGTTTCGTAATACCAAATAATTGGTACAGA